TCTCTATTTTCTTGTTCAAGCATGAGTAGCTAAACCCATTAACTAGGGTTGTGGCTCAACCCTAGCGTGGGTAATTGATGGGTATTGCCATCTAGGGTTAGATTGATTATGGGTGTTTGCTATTTGGGTTGATTTTATGTTTTAATCTATGAATTGGTGGTTGCAAACACTGATTTATGCTTTGTGGATTTGACTCTTCTTGAGAAAGAGAGTCTAAGTCTCCAAAATTGACCCAACAAGGAATTGGGATGGACTCATGAGAAATGATAGTCGCAATTAACGGGTTAAACCTCCAGAGAGTAATCACCCTACTTGAACCCTAGTTGCTTGATCTAATCTGTCTACCCATTTGGTCTCGAGAGAGTCAATTGGGCAAAATCACTCTCTATACCGAGAGGTGTGACAGTGGGTACAGTTGTGCAACGGTTATAGCATAAGCCCCAATTATGTCAATCGAACCTTAGTAACATCTACCCGTCAATTAGCCACCTAGGTGATGTCACGACCCTAGTGCCCTTCTTCCCATTAGATACAACTTTAACAATTATTTCGTAGCATAATCGAGTTTCAATTAGTAGTTTGATAATAGTAGTTTATAATTGAAAAACCCAAAAATGTTGGAAGTGACATTTAGAACAATTACACGACTCTAGTCTAGATAGATACCCAGCTCCAATTTCTAGCTCTCTGAGGAATTCGATCCCGACCCTCATATCGGGTAAAAGCTATTGCGACCCTCTCTTCCTACTTTATTGTAGTGTGGAGTTGGCAGCGATCAGTGTACTCATACTACACATCTGCACATTTTTGTGTAGAGCCAGGTATTGGAGGTATCAGACCCGGACAGAGTTAGAGTGTGATCGCAAGGATTCGAGGTAGAGCTGCTTGGTCGTCGTAGTCCCTTGGAGTCTGTTCAATTCATTGTACTGTTAATTTTTAATCAAACAATATTGTATGTTTGGTCCTCGTGATCATTCTATGTATTCAGTTAGAGTTCGTGACTCAGTATTACGAGTTTTGGGAAGGTGTTATAATTATTTCCGATGTTGGTTTAGTTTTTAAAAAATGGCTTGAGTTGTAATTAAAATCAGCTAACTTAGTCTTAGAGACTAAGTCCATCACGACGCCTGTGGTGAGATTTTGGGTAGTGACAAGTTGGTATCAGAGCTCTAGGTTCATAGGTTCTACGAGTCACGAACGAGTCTAGTAGAGTCTTGTGGATTGGTACGGAGAGGTCTGTACTTATTTTCGAGAGGCTACAGAACTGTTACACCCCATGTTTTCGTACGTGAAAGTCTGCCATAAGTAAATTGATGAAAGCTCGGAAATGATATGTTACATCCCACATTTTCGTACGTTAAAGTTTCATCGTAAGTTAATCGACGTAAGTTCGAGATTGAGATTATTTTGAGAATATAAGCATTATGTTATTTCAAACAAGTGATAAGTAAGTTCGTGAAGGTGAGAGGGTAAGCAAATCGAAGAAAATGAGTTTCGTCAAAGTTTACCATTTTGGGACAAAATACGGTCTAAGCTATAATACCGATATTTATGGACTAGTACCATACAAGGTACCACATGACCATGATAGTAAGGTGTATAAAGTGTGTTAAAAGTGAGTAGTATTTTGAGTAACTTGAGATAATTTTAATTATGTGGGTAATTGATTAATTATTGATTTAGTGGGAGATTAACCAAATTAATTAAAGGTTGTGGATAATTATTTAAGTAAGATTTTAGTAATTATTAGGGGGGACAACAATCCACGTGGGATTATGAAAATATGGCACCAAATTGCCAACTAATCTTATACTTAAGGAGGTGGTGGCACTATCTATGTGCACCTTATCTTATTTTGGATTGAAAGATTCTATTAAGGCTTCTCTAAATTGACAAAGTGAAAGGCTTATGAGTTTGTAAACCTAAAACAACAATACGGATGGAAATTTTGACAAAGTGGGATGTATTAATTCCTTTTGGGGGAAATTTGAACAAGCACTACAAGAAATGAGGTTTTTAGTGACGGATTTTAACAGCGACTATATTATTCGCCCCAAAAAGTAGGTAATTTAGTGGCGATGTATTAAATTTGCCACAAATAATTACAGCTTTGGTGACAACTATCATAGTTGCCATGAAAAGGGTACTTTTAGTGACAAATAAACTTAGGTCGCAACAAATACTTGTAACTATACCGCTAAATTTCACTTTCCCGCAAAAATAAAAATTTGATGTAAAAGTTTTAGTAACAATTCATAGATAGTCGCCATGTATAAGAATGCGTGGCGACTTAATCGACACAGATACTGTAATTTAAATTCTTTAAATATAATAAAATTAATCTTTTTCGGAAAACAGAGGGGGAAAACCAAAGTATACAAAGTTTTATTTCCCGCGAAACCAATAAGTCAGGAACTAAAAAACCCTACAATTTTATTTCAATAAAGTAAAAAGATCTCTTTTCCAACTACAATTCTTCCAAATAAAAAAAACCTAAGGAAAGAAGTTCTATGGTGCAACTATAATTCTCGCAAAAGTAAACCAGCGAAGAAACTTCTCTGTGCTCACATCAGATTTCGGCCGTTTCTCTGCTCAGATTTCTCCAGGCAATATGTTTTTCCCTCTTTATGTTTTATGTGAATTCACTCGAAATACTCCAAAAATCATGATGTTATGTTTTCTATTAAATTGGTTGAGTTGATTTTATGGATACTTCCGATTGATCAAATTGAATCTTCTGTTATACTGATTCTGACATGCTTATGCTTCATATTTACATCTATTTTTAGGAATCACTACAACATTTAAGGGCTCCAGCCACCCCTGAAAAGTGTGGCCTAAGATGTCAAGAAGTATAGCATTAGCTCAAAGGCAACACTTTACGATTTTAGGCTACGCTTTTAGGGGGGTGGCCTAAAGTACCGTAACCTTTGACTTATGGCCACGCTTTTTACATGTTGCCGTAGGATCCACGCTTCAAAAGTGTGACCGATGCACTAAAAAAGCTACACTTTATATTTCCTCTATAGCCACACTTTTATGAGGTAGAGCTACAATTTTGAAGCGTGGTCTTTGTTGCTTTATAGACCACACTTTTAGAGCGTGGCTTCTAAAGCAACTGTGATCAAGCATGGCGTCAAATTGCGTCACATTTTCTAAGCGTGGCAATTGTCTACGCTATGAAATAATTTTAAAAATATTTATATTTGCCACAATTGTGTGGTTAAGAAATTATTTACTGCCTAACATTAAACTCTATTCACATTTATTNCAAGTACATACATTATGATCTCAAGCATCAAATTAAATAATAAGTAACAAAATAAAAATAAATTATTTTTATTTTGTTACTTATTATTTAATTTGATGCTTGAGATCATAATGTATGTACTTGAAATAAATGTGAATAGAGTTTAATGTAGGCAGAAATAATTTCTTAACCACACAATTGTGGCAAATATAAATATTTTTAAAATTATTTCATAGCGTAGACAATTGCCACGCTTAGAAAATGTGACGCAATTTGACGCCATGCTTGATCACAGTTGCTTTAGAAGCCACGCTCTAAAAGTGTGGTCTATAAAGCAACAAAGACCACGCTTCAAAATTGTAGCTCTAC